GATAATTACAATAACGAGGTTAGGTGATAGTGCTAGAGAAAATGTAAAGCACACTCTAGGGAATGGTTTGATTTTTGCCAAGCCACAGTTAAAACCAAACCTTAAACTAGCCATAGATAATTTGAATCTCTTCAGCAGGGACCGGCCAAGATTTGAACCACAATGAGCAGGCTGATTGTACCCAAGTCGATCCATCGATTGACTTGGATATACCCATCATGTAGAATTGTTACATGTGATTACTGAGAGCGGCTATAGCTACTAGCAATAATGACTGTAATCTCCTGGCAAGGACAGCTCCCTGCACCCCCCACCAGGAGAACACAATAGCTCCACAGGAGGGATTCCACCATCAACACAAACTGTGTTGATGGGGGAATCGAGTGGGAAAATTGCACCATCTATGGCCTGCTTTACCCTTTATGCAAAACACAATTATGGGCGCAAAACATATTTCCTCATTCATCCCTCCCCTCCACCCCTGATATATTTCTTTTACTTTCATTCTCAGTGATCAAGCTCCCAAGGACAAATAAGGGAGGACAGACACAGACAACAGTAACAACTCTGAACTTTGTGATTCTGGATGAACATTAATATGATAATTTATTACTATCAATACAATGTAAATTACATAGTGAAGTATGAGCTATGATGTGTTTTTTTGTTTTTGGGAGAGAATATACTGCATGTCAGATATATACTGTATTTCTTAGTTTATTATGAATTTTGCCTTTTTAACATACATATCGATTTAAAAAAATATGAATTTTATTTGCATCTGGATATTGGTACCCATAAAGTCCCAGTAACAGTTGTACAGTTGTGTTCAAAATAATAGCAGTGTGTTGAAAAAAGTGAATAAAGCGCTCAAAATCCTTCTAAATAGCTTTTATTTCCATCCACACAAATGCATTGGGAACACTACACATTGTATTCCAAATCGAAACATGAAGAAAAATATATCAAATTTGTGTTGTTCCTCAAAAAAAATTGAAGAAAAGTGAATATTAGACTGTTCAAAAAAATAGCAGTGTTTGTATTCTTCTTTTACAAACTCAAACATTCACTATATAAACTGAAAAATGTTTGAAGATTTTGCTTTCCTTTGAATCACTTAATGAATATTTAGTTGTATATAAGCATTGTTTCTGAGAACTTCTGTACATCTGTGTTGCATGGAGTCACCCAACTTCTGGCACCTGTGAACAGGTATTCCAGCCCAGATGATTGGACTACATTCCACAGTTCTTCTCTATTTCCTGGTTTTGCCCTCAGAAACTGCATTTTTGATGTCACCCCTCACAGTTTTTATTCTATTGGATTAAGATCCGGGGATTGGGCTGGCCACTCCATAACGTCAATCTTGTTGGTCTGGAACCAAGATGTTGCACGTTTACTGGTGTGTTTGGGGTCGTTGTCTTGTTGGAACAAACCCATTTCAAGGGAATTTCCTCTTCAGCATAAGGCAGCATGACCTCTTCAAGTATTCTGATGTATTCAAACTGATCCATGATCCCTGGTATGCGATAAATAAGGCCCAACACAGTAGTATGAGAAAACATCCCCATATCATGATGCTTGGCAACCATGCTTCGCTGTCTTCACAGTGTACTGTGGCTTGAATTCAGTGTTTGGGGGTCGTCGTCTGACAAACTGTCTCCAAAAAGATCCAAAAAAAGGACAATCTTACTTTCATCAGTCCATAAAATGTTGCGCCATTTCTCTTTAGGCCAGTCAATGTGCTCTTTGACAAAATTGTAAACCTCTTTAGCACGTCTTATTTTCAACAGTGGGACTTTGCGGGGGCTTCTTGCAGATAGCTTGGCTTCACATTGGCGTCTTCTAATTGTAACAGTACTCACAGGTAACTTTACACCTTCTTTGATCTTCCTGGAGCTGATTGTTGGCTGAGTCCTTGCCATTTTGGCTATTCTTCGATCCATTCGAATGGTAGTTTTTCGCTTTCTTTACGCGTCTTTCAGGTTTTGGTTGCCATTTTAAAGCATTTGCGATCATTTTAGCTGAGCAGCCTATCATTTTTCTGCACTTCTTTATATGTTTTCCTCCTCTCCAATCAACTTTTTTATTCAAGGTACGCTGTCCTTCTGAACAATGTCTGGAACGACGCATTTTCCTCAGAATTTCAGAGAGAAATGCACTATAACCAGCATGTACAACATTTGCTGCCTTCCTTCCTTAAATAAGGGCAATAATTGCCACCTGTTTTTCAAAGAATGAATGACCTCACTAATAGAACTCCATACTGCTATTATTTTGAACATGCCCCTTTCAATTAGTGATTCAATTACACAGAATCAGCAGCATGCATGTCATGACTGTTGGGTCCGTTGGATTTCTATTACTCTACTACACCTGCTAGTAAGTTATTTGCCATGTAGAAATATCATTTCTACCAAAAACAGTGATTGATCAGGTTAGTGATGTCTGACTACTATTATTTTGAACAAACTGTATATGATACAACTTTAATCATCCTGTGATGTTGGTTACTATAGATCATTTTGATTTTAGAATTCTATATATATATATTTTTTTCTAATCAAATGCCAAATAGCCCAAATCTCACAAAAACATGTATCTGCAGTATCCCCAGCCCACAAAATGTTGTCTACTTGACATTCCTCAGGATCTCATCAGAAGGAGATCAACATAGCTATCTGCAGTTCAAAATCCAGGGTATAGGTAAGTATGTCCATCAACTTTTTTTCACCTAAAGATGCTTTTCAGATTTTTTTAAAACATTTTGGCATTACAAGGGGAAAAAGTTTAATAAACGGACCTTGTTCAAGGTGCACTGTCATGGAGTAAGATTTTTATAAAAAAAAAAATTTTCATTGTGTTTTGTGAATTGTCGTTGAGAACATTGCAGTGTTTTGGAGAAGCATTGGCTCTCATGGTTTGTACCTGGCCTGGGGAAGGCTGGGAATATGGCTTAAACATTTGAAAAGGTTCTTGTCCTCCTTATAGAGGGTCTTCCTTTGGAATGGAAACTGACTGGGGGGTGGAGCAGTGTGTGTGTTGGGCGGTCATACAAAAAGAGACATGTCTTGTGTAGATAGTACAAATTTATCCCAGAGACTGCTCAGATGGAGAATGTGTTTTGTGATCATTAGCTGTTTGCAAATAAATATGAATTTTTGGGTCTGGAATCTCACTCCTATTTCAGGATCCTTGATATCCACTTTAAGTAATCCCAGTGCTGACGTTTTACTTCATTTGGCTGAACTTAGGGTAAGCAACTTAATAGACCGTGCAAATATAATCGATTTACCAAATACAATTTACCAATGTCCACTATATCTTTCACAAAGTGTAAAGATCAACACATAATAATAAGAACACAAACCCAATCTCAGCAACCTTGCACTGAAAATTAAACACTGCTAGGAGATCCATTAACTGGAAAGTACACAATTTGCTGAGCAAAGTGATTAATTACAAAAATGTAAAATTATGGCCTGAATAAATGTCGTTCCACATACAAAATGGAATAATTGGCAAGGATTATGCAAAGCCATCATCATGTGGCTTTATTCTTGCACATTTTATTTTTTATTAATTCATTAAAAATAGACTTAATGGAACAGTAATTTTTAACTCCAGCTTTCACACACTTACCGCTTACTTTACTTTGCTCATTTAAACATAATTTGTATTTCTCATTAATTTAAACATAATTTGTATTTCTAGTCAGAATCTTCTGCAGTTTGATGTAAAGAGAACAGAAAGCTGAAAATCGGTCTCCGGTAGGAGAGAAGCGTCCCGCTATGCTAAGACTAGACATGACAGGACAAGGCTGAACAATAGCAAGCAGACAATGCCCTGTGGAACTAAATGAGGGATTCAAGAGAGCAAAAGCAAGGCACCTCATCATTACTACATGATGGTAAATACTGCTGAATTCTCATTTCTCAGTGTTCTACTACAGATTCAAGGTTATTCAACAAAAACTTTTCCTGTGTGTTTAAAAATCTTTTGTAAGTAATGCCACATGTATCTTAAATAGATTAAAATGTAGTCACTAAAATATCATCCGTTTTAAAATATTACTGTAGTAGAAAAGGTTTTTTAAATTATTTTTAAAATATGCAGCTTTCATTACCAGAATACCTAGTGCTCCTTCCATGAAGATCCTTGTTCTGACAATTCCTGTTATGGAGTACTATGTCAATGTTTTTCCCCTGTCACAATCCCTGATGAACACTACAAGTGGGCCAGGCTGGCACACGTTGCACAGGCATGGTCTACTGATGTCACTACAGGGAAGTCTGACCAGAGCAATGATGTGCAGCCAAAGGTTAGGTGCGTTCATGCAAACAAGAAATGGATGAAAAAAGGCTGACAGAGATTACCAGCCACTGAGAAAAGAGGATTAAATAGTAAAAAAAAATGTATCCACTGTATTAAACCCCACTCTGGATTCTGTTCTTCCCTCCCCAGGAATTGGGTAAGTGCTGCAATATCCATACACAGATGGTCATTCTGTTCACATCACTCCTTTAACCTCCCTGGCGGTATGATTATTTTCAGATTTTTGGTGCTGAAAGCGGTACCATTATTTTGCATGGAAATATGTAGTTTTTTATTATAGGCCTGTAATTTTTTAGGAATAACTCACTGAAATCTGTCCGAACAAGAGTCTAGTAAACATCCCGGGTAGGATAAAATTTGAAACACAAAATCATAAATTATAATTTAATAATCATAAAAAATAATAATATAATAACAACATTTAATTCAATAATATAATCAAACCAAAAACACTGAAATTTGAAATATAGCGCCAAGTTCGCACATTTACTGAGCAAAGTCGCAAAATCGTTTTCAGTGTCTGATGACGAATTTTCCCCACGAATCATTATCACTCAATTCTGCAAGTGGTTCTAATTTACTATCGCTGTTCTCTAGCTGATCTAAACCGCTTTTGACATAAAGGGACACTTTTTGGACACCATGGACTTTTCTAAGTTTCCAGGCAGAAAGAACAGTCTAAATGCAGACAGGGGACAGGACAAAGCACTAGGGACAAAATGTATGTGAAATGGTGTGAAACAGCAATGTTTTACTATGTAAAATTTGTTTAGAAAAAAAAAAGACATTTTTTTAAAATTTTCAAATTTCCCGCCGTACGTCCCGACGTCACAGGGACCGGAACACAGAAGCCGGATGCCGGCATCAAGCCGGAGGAGATGGCCGGGACGCTGCAGGGGACACATCGTGGGAGCGCAGGACAAGGTAAGTGCTGCAGGGAATCCCTGAGCAACGCCGCATGGTAAGCCCGAGTGTAGCTCGAGGTTACCGCTTTTGGTACTGAAATTTTTAACCCCGAGCTACACTCTCGGGAATACTGCTAAGGAGGTTAAAGAAAAGCTTTATTCCAGGTCTGTTGTAATCAATGTCTGTATATGAATATTGCAGAGTTTAAAAAAATATTTTTACAAAAAAAAAAAAGAGACATGGCAAACTAAATGTCATCCAGTTAGATTTACATCTACTTGAAGCTTTAGCCATCATTCATTTGGCATATAGCCATATGGAAAGCTGAAATGACTGTGCTTGCAAAACAAAGCTAGAAGGTTTTTCAAACTACTCCTTGCAAAATAAAGCATTCCATTGATAAAGCAATCCAACAAGAAAAAATAGAAGCAATTTAAAAACCTGTGCAAAGTTAAGAGGAGTGTATATAAACCTTAAGTAGAAAAATAGTATTACTGTCTCTTTACAGCAATATAATGTGCATTGCAATACATAGTTACATAGTTAGTCTGCTGAAAAAAGACAAAAGTCCATCCAGTTCAACCATTTAAAAAAAAAAAGAGTATAATCCTATATCCACAGTTGATCCAGAGGAAGGCAAAAAAAAACCAGCAAAGCATGATCCAATTTGCTCCTGCAGGGGAAAAAAAAAAATCCTTCCTGATCCCCTGAGAGGCAATCGGATATTCCCTGGATCAACGTTACCTATAAATGTTAGTATCCAGTTATATTCTGTGTATCCAAGAAAGAATCCAGGCCTTTTTTAAAGCAATCCACAGAGCTGGCCAGAACCAACTCTTCAGGGAGTCTATTCCCCATTTTTACAGCTTTTACTATGAAGAAACCTTTCCGTGTTTAGAGATTAGATTTCTTTTACTCCAGATGTAAAGTGTGCCCCCTTGTCCTCTGTGATGACCTCAGGGTGAATAACTCTACACCGAGTTCACTATATGAACCACTGATGTATTTATACATGTTGATCATATCCCCCCTTAATCTCCTCTTCTCAAGAGAGAATAAATTTAGTTCCTCTAATCTTTCCTCATAGCTGAGCTCCTCCATGCCTCTTATCAGTTTGGTTTCCCTTCTCTGTACTTTCTCCAGTTCCCCCAATGTTCTTTTTGTGAATTGGTGCCCAAAATTGAACTGCATATCCCAGATGAGGTGTTACTAATGATTTGTACCGGGGTAATATGATATCTCTCTCTCTCTCTCTGCAGTCTATTCCTCGTTTAATACAAGAGAGGATTTTGCTCGCTTTAGAATCCGCAGCTTGGCATTGCATTCCATTATTAAGCTTGTGATCTACCAGAACCCCCAGATCCTTCTCCACCATTGATTCCCCCCAGTTGTACCCCCCCCAGTATGTATGATGCATACATATTCTTAGCCCCCAAGTGCAGAACCTTACATTTATCAACATTAAACCTCATTTGCCACATAGTTGCCCAATTAAACAGAACATTGAGGTCAGCTTGTAAGTTATGGAGACATCCTGTAAGGACATTATTCCACTGCACAGCTTGGTGTCATCTGCAAAGACTGAAATGGTATTTTTTAATCCCAGACCCTATATTGTTTATAAATATATTAAAAAGTAAGGGTCCCAACACTGAACCTTGGGGGACACCACTGATGACCCCAGACCATTCAGAGTATGAATCATTAACCACTACTCTCTGAATACAATCTTTTAGTCAGTTTTCTATCCATTTACATACGGATTTTTCCAAGCCTGTAGACTTTACCTTACACATTAACCATGTGTGGGGAACTGAGTGAAACACTTTTGCAAAATCCAAGTATACCACGTCCACCCGCCACCCCCTTGTCCTCTGTCCAAGGTTTCGCTCACCTCCTCCTCATAAAAAGAAATCAGATTTGTTTGATAACTTCTGTCTTTCATGAACCCATGCTGTCTTTTGCATAAAATATTTTTTTCCAGCAAGAACTCATCTATGTGGTCTTTTATTAAACTCTCCAGTATCTTCTTGATAGAAGTTAAACTAACAGGGCTATGATTACTTGGTAAAGATTTTGACTCCTTTTTAAATATTAACAGCAATCTTATTTACTGCTTTCCCTGTATTATAATACCTGGTCGATCTTGCCTGTGCCACTGTTTCCTGTGAGTAAAATGATTATGGCAATCAAGGCTTGCCGATCCATGACAGTGTGGTCAGTTTAACGTCTTTCATCATGTAGTTCTGTGCTGTGTAAGAGCACAACCTGTCTGTACTTTCCTCTTGCTAGTTCTGTGGTCTGTGTAAAGCCACTCCCCTCTCTGCTCCTTTCCACCCCTCCCCACTCCTCCTGCCTTGATTGACTGAGGATTCCCCTGCAGCTGCTTCTCCTCTCCGCTTTCCTAAAGCCCCTCCCCATCAGTCCCTGTGCTCAGGAAGGAGAAGAATAAAAATCAGGTGACTGCACATAAGAACAGCAATAAAAAGTTATTTAGAATTTTTTTTTTAAGGCACTGCCATTATTAAAACACTAAGAGAACAGATAATATAACTTTTTTGGTTCAGAGTTTACATCTACTTTAAGAGGGCAATATGATTTGTTTCATTCACTGCCCTGCTTCACAATTTTTAAATTAGACGAAAAAAATATTACTTTAATCTCTTCTGAAACCAAAAGAAGATCAGAACAATAAAAATCATACTGTTTAGGACTGGAGATTGTGACAGTGCTAGGCCCTGTCATTGTGTGAGGATAAACAGGAAACACACAGGATTCACATTTAGTCCTCATGCACACTGGATGTTTTTACAGTTGCTGTTTTTGGCTTTTGGTGTTTTTTTTTCTACAGCCAGTAAACCCCCCCATCATGTTATCCTATATGTCCATGCACACATAGACTGTAATCAGCTTTTTTTTGGCAGGGGCGTTTTTTGGCTGGAAAAAAAATCAGAACTAGTGGGTTTCTAAAGGATTTTTTTAGCTGTAAAAATGCTCTAACGCTGAAAAACACTGAAAAACACGTGGTAGAACGCGCCAAAAACTGGCATTTTTGTACTTTTTTTAGCAAAAAAACAACGGGGTAAAATAAAACGCTAAAAAATGCAAACGCAAAAAAACGTGACAAAACGCTGCTAATGCAAAAATGCTCAAAAAATTTAGTTTTTAACCACATGCCGCCCAGCCACTGTACATATACGGCGGCGCAGGGCGGCACTCGCAGGCAAAAACCACATTTTAAAACGTGTGTTTTTGTAAACAAATAGGGGGCACGCGCGAGGCGCGCCGCCGCCCTATTTATCCTGCGGATCATCGCCGTAGATGTCAGTCGCCCGGGTCACAGCCGCTCCTTAGCAGCTATGTCCCGGCGATCGGCGACAAACAGTGACAGACAGCACAGCTGAAGTATCTGTGCTGTCTGTCAGTTGCCTGTCAGCTCGAAGATGAGCTGATCGACAAAGAACAGTTTCTCTTTCTTGATCAGCCTTGTCCCGCCCAGTACACACCCCCGCCCCCTAGTAAAACACTCCCCTCACTCCTATAACCCTTCCCTGCAAAATAAAGTTAACCCCTTCCTCCCCATTGCCATTAGTACAGTGTCAGTTTTTTTTTTTTGCACTGATCACTGTATTAGTGTTTTTGGGGATGTCAGTGACCCCAAGTCAGTACCCCCCCAATGTCAGAATGTCCGCCGCCATAAGTCGCTGGTCGCTGCCATAAGTCCCTGATCGCCGCCATAATTCGCTGATCGCCGCGCCATTATTAGTATAAAAAAAAACCTAAAAATCCCAGTATCTTTCCCGCCATTTGTAAACGCTATAACTTTTACGTAAACCAATTAATTTACAGGTATTGGGGTTTTTTTTTAGCAAAGACGTGTCGCAGAATGCATTTTGGCAGAAATTTATGACTAAATTTGATTTTTGCATTTTTTTTTTACTGGACATGTTTTTTATAGCAAAAAGTCCAAAATATTGTTTTTTTTTTCTCAAAATTGTCAGCCTTTTTTTTTTTATAGCGCAAAAAATAAAAACCGCACAGGCGATCAAATACCACCGAAAGAAAGCTCAATTTGTGGGGGAAAAAAAGGATGTAAATTTCATTTATGTATTGTTATTGCATGACCGCCCAATTGTCCGTTAAACTAGCGCAGCGCTGTATAGCAGAAAAATGGCGTAAATTGCAGTATTTATACCATAGTTTTGTAGACGCTATAACTTCCACACAAAGCAATCAATATACACTTATTGGGATTTTTTTTACCAAAAACATGTAGCAGAATATATTTTGGCCTAAATTTATAACTAACTTTGGGTTTACTATATATTTTTTATAGCTAAAAGTAAAAAATATTGTTTTTCTTCCAAAATTTTTGGCCTTTTTTTTGTTTATAGCGTGAAAAATAAAAAGCGCACAGGTGATCAAATTACACCAAAAGAAAGCTCTATTTGTGTGAAAAAAAAGAACGTAAATTTCGTTTGGGTGCAGCATTGCATGACCACGCAATTATCAGTTGAATTAGTGCAGCGCGCCGAGTAGCAAAAAGAGGCCTGGTCATTTAAGGGGGGTAAATCCTTTGGAGCTCAAGTGGTTGATGTGACTTTACACAGCTAACGTTACCAGCGTTATTAAAATGCCCAGCCTAAGTGCGAAGCTCCAGAGCATTGTTTTTGTATGGAGAAGACTGGCTTGTCAGTATTCAATGGGTTTGTAATCCTGGACTGGGGGCTGAAGGCTTCAAAGTGTCTTGGGTAGGAGCCTTCAATCCTGTGTCCAGTTCTTGCTGGAGACCTGCAGGCCATGTGTATGTACAGGTGGGCAGATTGGTTATAAGCCAGGACTGATCATAGCTCACAGCTCCCATTTTGAGACAGAGCCTTTGTGTGGAAACAGGAATGTTCTATAGCCAGGACAGGTGAACCACTTGGGAGATAGGACCCCATGTGGGACAGATGCCCTACACGCAGGACTATGAGAGTTGGGACAGCTGTGCGAGTTGACAGGACAGAGAAAGCTGAAGCAACTAGTGGCTCCAGTGGGCTGGAGGGACTCTATAGGCCTCAGAAGAGTGAGATAGCAGGGGTGCTGGCAACCCTATCT